CTCAAGGGGCCATGCAGGCAACTGAACAGCACAGTTTACAAAAGGAACTGAAAGAAGACAGAGGAAGAAAGGAGAGAGGTGGTTGCTGGCTAGTCCTGGGCTGGATGTTGGCTGTTCTTCCTTGTTCCACCTTGGTGAGCAGTGAAGTGAACCCCCACCCACTTGGGTAGTCCTTTATAGTTTACCACACATTCTTACCTACAGAACTCATCTGGCTTTCTCAACACCCCTATGTTAAAGAAATGGCCGGTATATACAGTAAATACTATTTTGTATCATGTCTCATTAAGTTTTCAGGTTGTTGAGTCAGACTACCAGGCTTCAAATCTTAATTCAGTCACTTCCTGATGATGTGACCTTAAGTAAAGCAATTAACTTCCTTCTGTTTCATTTTTCTTATTCATAAAAGGTTGATAACAATCATGCCTACTTCACAGGACTGATGTAAGGATTAAATGAGATAACACACATCCTCAGCACAAGACCCAGCACATAGTAAGCCTTTAATAGATGTTACCTACTATTTGTAATCAGCATTTTCTTGGTATCATGCCTAGCAAGTTCTTTCCCTCCCTAAGATTATATATTCACTCATACTTCCTTTTATGGTCTTATGTTTTACATTTAAATCTTTTTAAAATTTTATTTTATTTTGGAGACAACATTTATCATGAGATCAATCCTCTTAAAAATTTAAGTGTATAAAACAGTATGTATTGTTAACTACAGGTACAATGTTGTGCAGCAGATCTCTAGAACTTACTCATTTTGCTTTTCATGCCCACTAATTAGAAACTCCCCATTTCCCCACTCTCCCTAGTCACTGGTAACCACCATTCCACTCTTTGATTCTATAAATTTGACTATTTCATATAGCTCATATAAATGGAATCATGCAGTATGTACCTTTCTGTGACTGGCATACTTAATACTTAACATAATGTCCTCGAGGGTCATTGTTATGGTCTTATGTTTTACATTTAAATCTTTCATCTACTTGGAATTTATTTGGATATATGGAATAAGGAAAGGATCTAACTCTACTTTTTGGCAAAAATGGTTACAAAGCATAATATTTTAAACAACAAAATCATGTAATGCACAATTCCCAGCAAAAATAAGAACAGATAATTCTTTCATACTGAGATCAATTCAATTTTATCTTTCAAAAAATCATTTCTACATAGAGTGATTTTTCCCAAAAAAGGCTATGAAATTATTAGATTTTCTTACCTAGTTCATCCTGGGTTCAGTCATCAAAGACAACAAAACATTTATTTATCTTCTGAAAATATTAATGAAAGAATAATATTCTGAAAGGGAGTAAAAATAAAATGAGAAAACTAAGGACATGCTGGTAGGACCAAGTCTTGTCCATGCTGGCAGGAAGGAGCTGTAAAAAATCCATATTTCTAGATATTTACAGACAAAGCAACAAAATAAGAGGGAAGGAAACATACCACAAGCAAAATATTTGTATTCTACTTGCTTAAACCTACTTTATTTTTTAAAATTAACATGGCTTAAGAAAATACACAAAATGTAGACTGAATTAGAAATGGACAAGAAAGATGCAGCAAGAGAAAAA